GCAGTAAAGAAGAAAAAAAAAAGAATGATTACCAACTATACCACTTATTATGGATAAAACTGTATGTGCCTCTGATTCTAGAAACATGTCTGTACTTGGTAGCGCTTGAAGAAGATAAAGGTGTCCGACGTATTCTACTATATAATAGTATTATACTGATTTCAGTGCCCAACATATTGAACTGCATGCTGCATTTTATTTAAATCTAATCGCTCATAACCACTATCTGAACATGATCTTTTATCATTTAAAGCAGCATGCCTTGCTTCTTAGATTTTTTTTTTTTTGTTATTGATGTTGTTGTTTTTAGGGGTTTCTGTGTTTTTTCTTTTGCTTCGGAGACATCAGAATTTTTCAAAAATAAGACAGCATCTCAGGTGTTTTTTCTCCTTGCCACAAGTCAGTGAAGACAGGACAACAAAAATGTATCAAGTCACATTCATTGTATTGATTTGTGTAATAGAAATACTGACTTGAGTTTTACAACTGGGCAATTTTCTAGCTGTTGACCCGCTGTCTTATCAAACACTGTAGCTACATCAGCCGGATTTGGGCAGACTGATATATTTTAGCCCAATGAGATCTCTCTTTTTTCAGTGGTAGGCTTCAGCTCATGGTCCTACTCCAACATATTATGTACGTTGGAAAGTTGTATTGCAGTAGAATAACATAACCTATACATAAGCTGGATTTGATCGAAATTATACAGTTCATGTGCTTCTGTAATTATGGTCTGAAACAGAACCTTCTCTCACCCTTGAAATATAGTACGTTTGCTGGTTGTTTAAATGGCTGACACGGTGTTTGCCTGGCTTTATACCTGCAAAGCTACTCCCTCCACGTTCCCCCGTTTATTTTTTAACTTGAGACCAGTCTAGCTGAACAATATACAAACTAACAGCTCAAAGTGCATCTCAAAGTACTAAGTAAGTGTCTGTACGTCTCATTACGGCCTGATGGTGGTGCCCAGTAGCTTTCCTACTCCAAGTGCACTTTTCTGGGCGGTATAGTGAATCATTCAAAACCCACTGGCCAGCACTTTTATATCAGACTGCAGCTTTACTAACATTTGCAAAAAAAAAAAAGAAGAAGAAGAAGAAGAAAAAAAAAAAGTCTGCTTAAAGCATCATGAATTTTTTTTTTTGACACATTTTATTGATTTCATCTCAAATTTAATATATTTGTTTTATACATTCTCCTATCTGTAAACCCAGCTATTTGAATGATTTGCCTTTGAAAAGTGTTGCTTTGTACTTTTTTCAATGCCATTTGCCTGATTTTGTGAAAAACTAAGTTTGACCTATTGAACTGCTCACATCAGACTTCAGGGAGCTTTTCAGCTTAAGCGCTCTTCTCAGTAATAAAAAAAAACTGAAAGGAACCTTTTCGTCACATCTGTTTATTTTTGCAGTGGTTTGTATGTGTGTGACTTCATAATACAGGACAGCTGTGTTCAGTCGCTAACTAAAATCATGACCTGCTTCTCATAATTTCTCACAGAGGAAACAAATTCACTGATTATCTTACATCATGGGCTGCAAGGTGGCTCAGTGGTTAGCATCGTTGCCTCGCAGCAAGAAGGTCGCCGGTTCACGTCCCAGTTTGCATGTTCTCCTCGTGCAGCGTGGGTTCTCTCCGGGTTCTCCAGCTTCCTCCCACACAGTCCAAAAACATGTTGAGGTCAATTGGTGATTCTAAATTGTCCGCAGGTGTGAATGTGAGTGTGCTTGGTTGTCTGTCTCTAAGTGTAGCCCTGTGATAGACTGGTGACCTGTCCAGGTGTCCCCTGCCTTTGCCCTGAGTCGGCTGGGATAGACTGCAGCCCCCCATGACCCTGGTGAGGATTAAGCGGTGTATAGATAATGGATGGATGGATCTTAATTCATACCAGTGTGACCAGTGTGTTCCTAGTTTTGTGTGACAGTACAATGACATTGAACTAATAAAACCACTAAACAAAAATATTAATTTAACATTAGAATCTACACCATTAGTGGGATACTAAATACAGAAACAAAAACAGTAGGTATATATTCCTCCTGAAGAGGAGCAGGATATGAAAGTAAGATTTATGCACCCAAGTGGGCCAGCTCCAGCATACAAGTAGCCTCCATCTGGTGATTATCTGTTGCAGGGTGTGCAAAGGGAATGAAAACTCCTTTGCATTTTTTTCTTCACTTGTTCCACTTGTCTTGTTGTTAGAGCACTTGTCATGTTGTGTTAAATGATCAACAGTCTCTCTGTTCAGTGCTTATTGCAAGCAGATGTGTGGGAACATTCAGAAAGGCAAAATGAGCCTCATATGTTGGTAAATTTCAACAGGAAGATAACATGGAAACAATGTGTAACTTTGCGCACCTGTAACTACAGTTTACATACATGTGTAAAGACTGTGCACATCAGGACAGTCATGAATTTACAATGACTCTTATAACTCTGAATTTTCTATGATGGTACTGATAAAAATCCATGCATCACAAACAATCACACATTTTGAATATTCAATAGTTTACTACAAGTCTTCTGGAAATATGGTGCTTGCGGTTGCTATCCACAAGCTTCTGATAAGTTTCTGGTTGTATCTTTGTCCACTCCACTTGACACAATAAGTATAGTTAAGATAAATTAGCACTGTTTGTGTGTCTTTGCAGTTATTGTCTTGTTGGAACACTGAACTGCGTCCAAAGCTCAACCTTCTGGCTGCTTTTGGATGCTTCTTTTTCAGTATTCCATTTACTTTTTCTAAAGCACCAGCTCCACTGGCAGCAAAATGGCCCCGGAGCATAATACTTCCACCACCATGCTTGACAGTAGATATGGTGTTCTTGGGGTTAAAGGCCTCCCCTTCTCTCCAAGTTGCTGTGTGTATGATTCCATCATAGAAAATTCAGAGTCATAGGAGTCGCTGGAAATTCAAGATTACCATGATATACATGGTCTTTACCCGTAAAACTGTTCATGACTGTATGATGACAGTATATAAACTTGTTTGCACACTAGTTGTTGTGATTCTGTGAGTCCATGTCACCATTTTGGCAGGTCAAAATGGCAAAATATTTAATCCTTGGCTTGCCTTTGCTGGAGCCATTCAGTCATTTGGTTCTGCTGGAAATTGATATTGCATGCTGAAAACTTTAAATGGCTTGCCAGGTATGATGTCTTCTAAAGGGAAATATACAGACTTTTCTGAGGTCTGAGGATATATGACAATCTCGAAATTCAGCCAAAGTATCTTCCAGAACTTGCCAAATAAGTAAAATATTAACAAAATCTGAGCTGCTGCAGCAACACCGCTATCTGAAATGACACCAGCTGACCTTGATGTTGTTGTACAAAAAAAATGGGTTTACTTACCCTGCTGCTTTGCATCAACACAGAGAAAAAAAACAGAGATCAGAAAGCAGAAAGTTTGCTTTGCACCAAACTTCATGGTTGTCTTGATATGAACTCTGCAACGAAGAAGTACACAAAGAAAACGTTGCCTCATATGAAGCTTTCCTCTTGTTACCTAGACTGAAGTCAAGCCACACCCCAGCAACAATTCATCATGATCAAGCAGAAATTCTGACCCCTAACTACCACACGGGTCTATTGTTTGTCACGCTGGGTGCAAGATGTTTGCTCATTGATATCCTGAAAGCTTTTAAGCCTGTAGCACTGTCCCCTTGTCTAAATGGCTCATGGGAGATATTGTTAAAGATTATATGTTTATGCACCTTATGCTTGAAATCACCATTCCTAATTCTGCACTTCATAGCTAAATTCACCTAGCAGGTTATAAAACCCACTATGCTCTCCTGAAAAGCCCTTTTCAAACAATGAGAACAAACAGCCATATGAACCACTCTAAGTCGATGATAAGCTGATTCTATTGTTTTATTTGGTTAATATTTAACATATTCAATGGATGGAGGAACAGTGATTAGCACTGACACCTCGAAAGTCCTGAGTTCGAACCTTGGCCTGGGGTCTTTCTGTGTGGAGTCTCCCTGTGCTTGTATGGGTTCTCACTGGGTTCTCCAGCTTCCTCCCACAGTCAGAAGAGACGCTGAGGTTAATTGGTGATTCTAAATTGTCCGTAGGTGTGACTATGAGTGTGCTTGGTTGTCTGTCTCTAAGTGTAGCCCTGAGATTGACTGGTTACCTGTCTGGGTTGTACCTTGCCTTCACTCATAAGCTTATCCCAGCTGTAATGCCACGTGACCCTACAGAGGATAAAGCAGTGTATAGATAGATAGATAGATATGTATATGAATGTTTCATGGTTATTTTGGGCATTTTTTTTGCATTTGATTACTGTAAATGAATATGGAAATGCCAAAATAGTACATAGACGCAGTGATAAAGTCACATGAAGTCATATCCGCACACCTTGTTTTTTTCATCAAACAACTTTATAGTATTAAATATTTTGATTTGACCTGTATTTATTTTGTTATTAAACACTAACCCATCTATCTGTCTATATCATCTACCTGACCATCACTGTCATCTGTAACAAATAACTTGCTGGAATCTGGATCCTGTGTTTAAACTCTATATCCGATGTTCTGTCAGCCGGTACCATCAACTTTACTTAAGTATTTTTTTATGTTCCATTGAGCCCAACTAAACATCTGTGATGGTGTGCTACAAAATGGCTGCTAAAACATCATCGCTTTGTATTTGACACATGAAATGAATAAAATCTCTAATGTAGCATTTGTGTTTTATGTAGTCTCCAATCTGTAAACTCAGCTATTTGCATGATTCGCCTTTGAAAAGTGCTGCTTTGTTATTTTCAACGAAATATTTTCCATTTAATACATGCAGTCTGATAACTGTGATTAGTCACAACATTGATTCTGATGCATTATTATTTTCTTAACAGCACAAGATCAAAGAATGTCACGTGATAACTTATAGTCCATGTAAAATGCCAACTAACTGTTTATCAGTGTTTTTAGCTTCTGATTGACCTATTGCCTTGTATTTCTCAAGGAAAAACACAAATACACAAATACACAAAAAGAAGATTTATTTTTCAAAATTGAAAAACATTCAGTTCCAGGGTCACCTGAGTCCTGCTCCGACCAACCAACCAAAAGGACAAAAATGTCCTCGTGGTCAAATGACTGTTACTGTCACAATGGTTAAACACAGGATGTCTACGGCATTTTTGGCGAGTTTAATTCTAATTAATACAAAAGTGATGAAACAGAATGAAGCGATGTAATTGTTTTATAGCTCGCTGTGCTCTGTGTTTTCATTATGTTGTCGGACCTTCTCTGGGAGGGTCTGAGTCATAAACACAACCCGGTCTTTGTTCAGGGCTCGACCAACTACCTGCTCCTTCAAACCAATTGCCAGATACTCCTCTTCTGCTCCATACTTTGGCCAATGGGCAAGGCCATCCCCGTTAGGAGACCTGCACACACATATACACAAAGTTATAAACAAGTTTGTGTCATCTCCGTGTATACTATAACGTATAAGCAGTAATTCCTACCCTGTGCGAGCAAAGTTGCCCCAGTAGCTCATCACGATTCTGCTCAACTGTTCCTCGTCTTCAGCGCATGCATCTGAAATGTTGACAAATAGGTGAAACATTTTGTACTCCAATGGATCCATATCTTGGAACATTCCAAGATCGCTATCAGTCCAGTCATTTGTTGATGTGCCTGCATGTGAGCTCTGACCGTCACTTGTCTTTTCTACTCAAGAGGTGCAAATTTGAAACCTGCTGGCTTCCTACAACAACCCAAAAAGGAGTTGTGTTACTGATGCTGGGCTGCTCCAGGCTCCAAGGATAAAATTACCCTCTACACTGAGAAACTTCTGTCCTCCATCTACAAGCTTGCGGATATCTACTAGCTCCTTCAAGTACTCAACAGTCAGTTGAAGTTACTGTTGCTGGGTGCTTGAAGACCTACGTGAGTTTTATGAGACCTGGTCGTATCACCCAACCTGCTGGACTGCTGTTTGCTAATCAGTGCCTGTACACAGTTAGACAAGTAACTAAAGTGGCTTTTCTGAATACTCTGCTGTGCTATGCATCACAACTAGGCCTGTATGGCTGGTGGTCTTTGGTTTCTTATTCAAGCATCATGTTGGTTTATTCATTAATTAATATGTGCCTTCTTGGTCTTTCTAGACTCAACCAAGTCAGTCAATATTCATCATCTCACTCTTTGTGAGTCTTACTCATTATTAGGAAGTCCACCCTTTGCAACTGCAAAAGCTCTAAAACTTCCAAGCACAAGTGAGTATTTCTTGCTGTATAAAATCATTTTCAGTTGCACCTCCCTGACTGGATTTTAGTGACTTTACATGAATTTTCTAATTTGCATTTTATATCAACTGGGGCTATTATAACATATATGAAGCAGGGTCCAAGGGCTTTAAATCTAATTCTTGTACACTTAAGGACACCCACATAAGTACCCCTTTATTTTAAGACCTACTTCTAGTGTGGAGATCTGTAAAGCTTTGAAGGCTATTGATCTAAAAAAAAAAAAAGTCCTTGGATCCCTATCTCTTCAATCTTTTAGATGATTTTATTGCTGAGCCTATTGGTCATATTTAAAAAAAAAAAAAAGACAGCCAAAGTATCTGGTGATCTGTTGCACTTACCAGCTAATTTGATGTGGGTAGTTGTGAAGCAGAATCCAAACACAATAAAGATTTCATCTTCATGATCACTCCCGACAAAGCTCGGTCTTTTTTTCTGCAGGAATTTGGGAGCATGCTGGTACTCATACAGGTATACAGTGGTGCCTGCATCTAACAATAGACAAATAGATGTGGTATTTGATTATCAAAGTGTGTGTAAATATCAAATATTGCTACTTTGAAGGATTTGCAAAATCTTGCCAAATAATTACCTCTGTGAGCATTAGCAGTTTTAATGACTGGAATGTTAAATAAAACATCGGCCATCCACTTAATCCACCCATCTCTGTTTCTTACACGGTCTTCTCCAGTTCCAATATATTCATGAATCATCAAATCTCTCTTGACTGCATCTTTAGGCTTGAAAAAGTCACACATCTGTCAAAGAAGCCTGAGCATGTTGAGGAACAGTAATATTATAATAACAAGTGGCGTCTGTCTTACATCAGGTAAGAAAATGGACATTAGGTTCGTGGCCTGCTCCCGATCCATTCCTTCTTTCCAGTCAGGAGGACCAAAGAACTAAAGGAAGACCAAGGCAGTTAAAATGTCAGATAAGCACACAAGCAAAGCAACACTAAATTTTAATCATCTGGAGATCAGTAAGCCCTTCATTTACTCAAAATTTTGAAACAATTCAACACTTACATTAGGGAGAACAAATCCCGCTTCGTCATTATTAACGCCAATCATAAATGGTACAGGGAAGAATTGATGTTTACGGAGGTGCTCCTCCACAGGGTTTATCAGGACGTGTCCATCAACACTTGCCGAAGATCCCAAGTTTGCGTGCTTGAGAGAATAAAATGTGTGAAAGTTGAGACAGAACAAAAACCTTCAGTTAACAGAAATTTTGCCCAAGACTTTGGGCTCACATTTGACTAATCTGTTCTCAGCAGTCTATATTAGTTTTTTTAGCACACAGTGTCTCACCTTCGCAAGAGCCACTATAGTGTCAATATCAAGGTTTCTCATGCAATCCCCAATCTTCTCTGTGCTTTCGATGCTACAGCCAGATGCATTTGCAACCATCTGAGGGGAGATGTGAAGAATCATTGTCAACAATTTAGAAGAAGACAAATATGCTCTAATATTCTAAAAAAGGTAACCACATTGCTTATTGACCTGCGTCATTGGCAGAGGATTATCTGACACAAGATAATCCATTGCAGCTGTGCCGCTCTCAGCAATGGCACGGTGGAACAGGCCATCAGACAATGGTGAGAAAAGCTGTTAGAAAAGAAGAATTAACTTTGAAAATACATAAATGTTCAGTGTTTTTATAATTACTTTTAAAATGATTCTTACCAGGAGAGATACACTCACTCCACCAGCTGACTCCCCAAATATGGTCACTAAATCTGGGTTTCCTCCAAAGTTGTGAATGTGCTGCTGGACCCACCTCAGAGCTTCTATCTGATCCATGAGCCCAAAGTTCCCTGATATGTGTTCATCTCCGGTGCTGGATAGAACACAGAGTTAGTGTCGACCAGATCATGTTTACAGCAGCTGGTAAAAATGAGTCAACTTTGAACTGGTGTTACCATGTGGCACAAATCCTATTCAAAGTAACAGAACATAGCCACAGTATGTACTAACTTTTCTTAGCAACTTGATTCTATTTACCTGAGAAAGCCCAGAACTCCCAAACGATACTGGATCAACACCACGACCACATCCTGGTAAGCAGCCAGAGCAGAGCCATCATACATTGAAGCTGACCCACAAAAGAGGCCCCCACCGTGGATCCAGACCATGACCTGGTAAAGTAATTAAAGGTATTGATCTTTATTTCAAAGCCAACAGGACATTTTTATGTCATTCCTGCCGAGCTCACCACATAGAAGTCTTAAAAATTAAACTAAACGAGGACTTGAATAAAACTGGCGATGACAAAAATAGAACATCAGCTTGAAGTTAGAGGTAATCTCATTGCAATCTGTCTAAATATAAGCACCAGAATACATTTTTTTTTTACAAGTATTAAAAACAGACTCTTCCATGAATACTTTCTAAACTTTCCTAAGGCTGAATCTCGGTAGCTAAACAGTATCAGCTACTTAAACCTGTAGCAAAGAGTTCTTACTGGGAGCTTGGCATCTTTCGCTCTGTTTGCAGGCGTGTAAATGTTCAGGTAAAGACAGTCTTCTGAAATGTCTGGCAAATCGTCCAGTAGTTCACCAAAATTAGAAAATATATCAAGAGTTGTCTGTCTATGTTGAATGCACCTGAAAAAGAGACATTTTTGTCAATCAGTGTTGGACATCATTCCTCCAAGTGTGGTGTTCAAACACTGCAGCACATGTGTCTTACATGGGTGGCTGCTTGGTGGCGTCTCTCACTCCTTTCCATCCCTCTACAGGCCGAGGTGGAGCCAGTCTCAGGGAAGGACCCACGGGTGGCCTGGCAAATGGGACACCCAGGAAGGCGTGGACTCTTGTCTCTTTGCCCTTCACAGTCACAGACTCACCTCTCAGACTCCCGAGCTCCGTGTGGACTTCAGGTGCTGTTGGGATATTAGAATCAGTCAAAATCATAACCGAACATTTTGGCAATTTAATCATTTCTTTGAGGAAAACCAGATTCCCCCAGATGTGCAACATCTGGTTGTTAGTTATGTCATATGGCGTTCTTGGCATTTTGGATGTATTTTGTACTTTTAAATGTAATTTAGATACATTTATATTTATATAGATATATTTACCAGTATACATGATCACAACAAACTAGGAACGAGCAGGAATCGATCCAATGATCTCAGGGTGTATTTGGCGCGATATGCCAATCAATTAAATAAACATGAACACAGGTCAAAGGCACAAGCTATTCCCAGGCCGCTCTGTCTACAGGAGGCTTCAAACCTTCCCTCAGGAACAGCTCGCCTGCTTGACTGTCTTCACTGCCGGCAACGCTGACAGTTACAAACAGCTTCGTCCCCCCCAGAGTGCCACAAACGTCTGATTTTATCTCAGTCTCGAACGGAATCCTGCTGTTTAATGCCCATTTTACCTTCCAGCAAACTCATCCTGCCACCTCACATAGGTGACATCACCAGGGATTAACTCAGGCAGGAAATCAGCCGCTACACTCTTTGTCCAATCAGAAGAAACCGTCCCCTTTCTTTACCACACTATTATCCATTACCAGTGCAGTCAGATCCATAGTACATCTCTTCAGACTTTGTCATTAATGACCCAAAACTAAGTTCTGTAAAAATATCTGTGGTTGAATTTAGAGAATTTCCCTTTTTTTGTGTGTGTGTGCAACAATTTTTATCTTATTTGATTTATTTTTACCCTCAAAAATATATCTTACCCTGAAGGAAATTTTAAGGGTTCAGTATCTCCAGAGTTAGAGCTCCCACAGGCATGACATTTAGTAAAGACACAGACAAAATTGTGTCCAGCAAATCAAAATGATTGAATAGTTCCAGCATAGGCCAGTTCTTTAACTAGTGACCCCTTACAAGTGGTGCGGGGGGAGTGCAAATATGTCAAACAAGGATGGTAATTGTGCCCCATAAGTGCAAATATATAAATGTGTCCACATTTCCCACAAAAAACACAGCCTTTGATCAACATTTTATCAGCTTTTGAGGCCTTGAACATCAGTGGAGTTTGATCTGTGGCAATCTGCCAAAATGGTGATGTGGCATCAGTCATAGGAGCACAAAACCTGGTGTCCAAAGAGTCTATATATTGTCATGATGTGTGCAGTTACAAGTTGCTTTCATGTTGTCTTTATGTTGAAATTAGGCAAGGCAAGGCGAGGCAGGTTTATTTGTATAGCACAGTTCACAATTAGGTAATTCCAAGTGCTTCACACCAAAGTATAAGAGGACAGATAAAGTCAGTCCACAGAACATAAACATAATTAGTAATTAATTATGTTAGAAGCAAAGAGGCAGATAAAATCAATCCAGAAAAATAAAAATATAATCATTAATTAGAAGAGTACATTTGTAAGAGCCAGTAGTTAAATTAAACAACATTCAATGAGGATCATTTTGCACATATATGTGGCTGGACATGTTGTTAGTTCTGATTGTGTCTAGAGTTGTCTCTGTTATTTCCTGCAATTAGCTTGGTCCCCCCACCATTATTTTTCTTATGTATGAATGCTTGTGTCACTTATAAGGGGCTCACCTGCCCACCTGAAGTGGCTGTGGGGCAATACCCACTTACACCAGAGGGTGGCAGTGTTTCGCGAGCCGAAATGTCCGCGATCATTCTGTTTGCAGTCTGTTTACAGCTGTTGCTGGATAAATAAAGTCACTGGAATCTGGACGGAAGTCATCGTCATTTGTCCGAGTGTAACATATACCTAAAATGCATCCAGATGGGTCAGTTAATGTGTACACGTAGCCTACATCTGGTTACATCTGGTGGATGTGCAAAGTGCATACTCACACTTTTGCATTGTTTTGTGCAGCTTTTGTATTTTTATTTCAGTTGTTTCATTGTTGTAACGCGTTCCATAATGTGTTTTGATGAACATGAGATTTATTGTTGAATTATTGTCATCAGTGTCTCGGTTCAGTGTTCATTTCACTATGGAGAATATGAGGTAAGGCAAAATAAACTTCTTTTGCTATTAAATTTCAACATGGAAAACAACTTGTAGGTTTGCACATTGAATGAATCTAGTTTATTTCTGGGCTGCAAGGTGCTCGATGGTTAGCGTCGTTGCCTCGCAGCAAGAAGGTCGCCGGTTCGCGTCCTGGTGAGGACACCCGGGATCTTTCTGCGTGGAGTTTGTATGTTCTCCCCGTGCAGCGTGGGTTCTCTCCGGGTTCTCTGGCTTCCTCCCACAGTCCAAAAACATGTTGATTGGTGATTCTAAATTGTCCGTAGGTGTGAATGTGAGTGTGCTTGGTTGTCTGTCTCTAAGTGTAGCCCTGTGATAGACTGGTGACCTGTCCAGGGTGTCCTAAGTCAGCTGGGATAGACTCCAGCCCCCAACGACCCTGGTGAGGATTAAGCGGAGTATAGATAATGGATGGATAGTTCATTTCTGGACTCCTAATTTTTTACTTTATTTTTTGGAACTTAGTTGTTTGTTTGTTTTTCTGATGACTGTACACAGAGAGTCAAATTCCTTATTTCCGTATACAAACTTGGCCAATAAAGTCGATTCTGATTTAAAAAAAAAAAAAAAAACTCTGTCTGAGGACATGTGAAATTCTCAAATTTCTGCCAAAAATATTTTAGAGAACTTAGTTTTGGGTCCCAAAATACACATAAACAACTCTGAACTAAATCTGACATGCTGCAGCAACATCACTATCTGACATGACCTCAGTGTTGTTTAGTAAGTAAGTAAATGAGTTGACTTACCCTGCAGCTCTGCAGCAACGCAGAGACAAAAAACAGAGACCAGAAAAAGGAAAGTTTGCTTCGTACGGAACTTCATGGTTGTCTTGGTGTGGATTCTGCAAAGAGGAAGCTCTCATAACAAACGTTGCCTCTTATGCACCTTTCCTCCTCTTGTACATTGATCGAAATTAAGCCACACCCCAGCAATCATTCAGGTCAGGCTAGAATTCAAGGATTCAAGGTCTTTAATTGGTCGCAAACACAGTTCTACATGGTATAACGCGCAGTGAAATCCGTTGTGTACCTGTTCCACACCGAAACAATAGTAATAAGATAAATAAAAATAAAGAAGTAAAAATATATATGTGAACGTATATGTGTATATATATATATAGAGAGAGAGATAGGAATAGTAGAAATAAATAAATAAAATTTCCAAACAGTGCAAAAAGGGAATAAAACAAATAAAGAAAATAGTAATAATATATACATGTATATATATGTGACGGAGCGACGCCGTCACTAGCGGAGGTTAGCGGGCCGGCATGCCGACGCGGCACACCCGCCGCGTAGCACACACACACACACACACACACACAGGACATACATCCAGTTACAAACTGTACAATAACCGGCACTCACACCTCATTCATTTCCACTTCTGCTGTTAAGTCTCGTGACCAAGGGTGCACACTTGCCACGATACTTTTTCTCTCTCATCCATACATGCACACATACACTCACACACACTCACCGGTCATTGCAGTGGTAGGCAGCTGGCTGGAATGCTTGGCGGGCAAACCCGGGCCATACCATCAGCCGGCTTAAGATGGTATG